TACTTTCCCCTCTATCCATGCCATTCACAATCTTATAAACTTCTATCGGGTTGCCCCTCAACTTCCTGTGTTCCAGTGAAAACAAACCCAGTCTATCAAATTTTCTGAAGAAGGGTCCTGACCCAAAACGTCAGCCTTCCTGCTCCTCTGATGCTGCCTGGCCTGCTGTGTTCATCCAGCTCCACACGGTGTTATCTCAGACTCCAGCATCGGCAGTTCTTACTATCTCCCAGTCTATCAAACCTTTCTTCACAGCTACAATCCCTCCCATACCAGGCAACATCCTGGCAAACCTTTTCTGTGCCCTCTCCAAAGCATTCACATCCTTCTGGTAGCGTGGTGACTTGAACTGTGTGCAATATTCCAAGTGTGGCCTAACGAAACTTCTATAAAGCTGCAGCGTTAACTTGTCTATCCTTATACTCAGTGCCCTTTCCAATGAAGGGAAGCATACCATGGGATACATTAAGGGCTGCAGATGCTGGAAGTCAGAGTCAATAAATGTGGAGCTGGAAAAGCACAGCGGGTCAGACAGCATCCGAGGAGCAGGAAGGTCAACGTTTCAGGCCGAAACCGTTCATCAGGCCTTTTTTTTTAAAAACTCTCTTATCTACCAGCGATCTGCGGACCTGCTGGATGAGGGCATTGCTGGCTGGGTAAGCATTTATTGCCCATCCCCAATTGCCCAGGGGGCAGTTAAGAGTCGACCACAACATATATAGGCCAGACCGGGTGAGGATGGCAGATTTCCTTCCCTAATGGACATTAGTGAACCAGGTGGGTTTTTTTTCCTAACAATTGGCAATGGTTCCGTGGTTATTACTAGACTCTTAATTCCAGATTCTTTTTATTGAATTCCACCATGAATGCAGTTATAAGTCTAGCCTGAATGAAGAGTCCAATGGTTTTTGATTGCATGGGGGGTGCACACAGCTAGGGGACTAGTTGCCCTCCAAGCAGGCCGACGGGTCGAATTCGACTTCACCCAGAAACCAGAGCAATCCCACACCGCCGTGATTCCCCACGTTGGCCCTGGGGTGAAAAAGAGGAGGTGTTCACTGTCTGTTTACTTACCAGGATCTCCCAAAGTGCACAGGTCCCCGAGGAAAACAATGTAGGTGGGAGTTCTGAAAGGCATAACAGAAACCGGTGATGTCTCTTTGTAACGACGGTCAAAGTTCAGAGGGCACGACAGCACCGGGATTATTACCCAAAATCACTGACACAGCCAGGAGTCCCAAACTCGTTACCACAAGCAAAGTTGAGATGCTACTCAGGTTAGATTCTGGGAGAGAGAGAGAGAGAAAGACACAGAGAGACAGAGACAGAGACACAGACAAAAGAGAGAGACAGAGACAGAGACAGAGACACAAAGAGAAAGAGAGAGACAGAGACAGAGACACAGACGCAAAGAGAAAGAGAAAGAGACAACATCCAGGCTTGGGCCGACCAGTGGACAGTAAAATACACAACATACAAATGCCAGGCGATGACTATCTCCATAAGAGACAATCTAACCATCGCCCACTTGACATTCAATGGTGTTCCCATCACTGAATCCCCCACTATCAACATCCTGGGGGTTACCATTGACCAGACACTCAACTGGGACCCACCACATAAACACAGTGGCTACAAGAGCAGGTCAGAGGCTGGGAATCCTGCAGCGAGTAACTCCCCTCCTGACTCCCCCCAAAGCCTGTCCCACCATCGACAAGGCACAAGTCAGGAGTGTGATGGAATACTCCCCACTTGCCCCTGGATGGGGGCAGCTCCAACAACACTCAAGAAGCTCGACACATCATATACAAGATTCCCTGCAAAGACTGCAACAATCATGACATTGGTCAGGCAGGAAGAAAATTAGTCACAAGAGTACACTAACATCAACTAGCAACAAAAAGGCACGACCAATACTCACTTATCTCCATCCACATGGATAAGGAAATCCACCAGTGTGATTGGGACAACACCAGGATCCTGGGACAGGCCAAGCAGAGACACGCATGGGAATTCCTAGAGGCCTGGTTCTCCACTAAGATGGCCACAAACAAACACATACAGCTCAACCCTTTTTATACTCCACTGCAAGGGAAAACCAGAAGTGAGGTAACCCAGCTCAATGGACACCAGAGTTTAAAAATAACAGGCGGGAAAACACAACAGCGCTTCATCGGAGGCTGCACTGATGATGTTATCCAGCAAGGTAAAGAAACGTCTGCAGAACAGTTGAACCAGCTCGGCGAGGCAATCAACCACAACATCCATTTACACTTCTCGTTGCTGTGGAAAGGCAACCAACATCACCAAAGAGCCCTCCCAACCCCTGGAATGCTCTCCTAAAACCTCTTTCATTTGGCAGAGGATACAGAAACCTCTACACACGCACCAACAACAGCTTTTTTTCACCCACTGTTATTAGATTACTGAATGGGTCTCTAATTTCAAATCTAATGTTGATCTCGCTTTTGTGCGCCTCCTGTGCAGCCGTAACCTTATATGCCTCGGCTCTGTGTAAGCACCCTATAATCTGCATGTTCTTGTTTGCTATGATCTGCCTGTGCTGCTCGCAAAATAAAACTTTTCACTGTACTGAGGAACACATGACTGAAATAAATTAATTCAAACCGTGGTGAGGGAAGGTTCAATTGAGTCAATGGGAGTGGCATTGGATGCGTATTTGGGTAGAAAGAATGGGCAGAGCGATGGGGAAGAAACAAGACATTGTCACTGCATTACTCAAAACCATGCTCAGCGCACTAGCACCAGAATTGGGCTGAATGGCCTCCTTCAGAAATGCTTGGCCTTCCAGAACTACACCTCCCGGCAGGCGTTGCGAAGGGTTTCCGGCGGAGGACGGATATGACGCACAGAAATGCTCGCGTGCACGGCAACGCTAGCTGGTCACCGCGAGAAAGTACTACATCAGGAAAAAAAAAACAATAACACCCGCGCATGTTGGGATCAGAAACAAGATCAGAAGTTTGTGGGAAAACGCAACAGCTCTGGCAGCCGCTGCGGGGACAGAAATCAGAGATAACCTTTCCGGTCCAGAGACGCTCCTTCACAACTGAATGCAGCAGGCCCGCACCGTCACTTCCGTCCCAGTATGGAAGTGGTGTCACAGGAGAACTACAAACCCCAACAGGTCGTGGTACCACCTCCGGCCCAAAACGGAGATGGCGTCACAGGACACAAAGAGAACTACATCTCCCAGCAGGCAATCGCATAGCGACCGGAAACGGATATGGCGTCACAGAACACGCTGGGAACGTGTGTCTCTTGTTCTGAAGGGTCCCCACCCGAAACGTCATGTTTCCTGCTCCTCCAACTCCACACTCTGTTATCTATTACAAGCATCTATTTCTACTGAAACGGTGATAACGGCACGGCGCGTCAGCGGAGAACTACATCTCCCAGCAGGCTAAGGGTGGGCTTCCGGTCAGCGAAGGAAGTGACGTGTAAGAAGCAACGCTACAGGGGGCGAGTTCAGAAAAAAAAATGTGGGGACTGAGTGCGGAAAAGTTCACCCTGTACCTTCATCCACGGATGCTGCCTAGCTTGCTTGAGTGTTTCCAGCAACTTCTAACCGAACAACCGGCCGTATCCTGCATGGAGAGGAAGTGATATCATAGCAGTGTCCGGCGTGAACTACATCTCCCGGCAGACACCGCGGGACGTGGGTTTCCGGCCGTGAACCGGAAGGTGCAGTGAGACAGCGGCAATGGAGGAGCTGGGGGTGATGGTGGAGCGATTACAGGTGAGTGATGGTTGTCAATAAAACCATCAACAAGCACATTAAACAGACCCCTCACACAGATTGGGGGCGTTGGTGGGGCGTGGGCGGCATTGGTGGGTATTTGGGGGGGGGGGTGGGCGGCGTTGGTGGGGGTTTGGGGTGGGCTGGCAGACGTGTCGAGGGGAAGGGTGAGATATTGTGGTGGCCGGGGGAGACGGGTTATTGCATCTGCAGTAAAGTGGATGAATTAATCACGCAGATAGGTATAAACAAGTACAGTACAATTGGGAGTATGGTGATATGGCTGCAGGGTGACCAGGGATGGGACCTGGAATGTCCCAGGGTGTTCAGTTTTAGGGTACAAAGGAAAAGGTGGTGGATTGGCATTGCTGGTTAAAGAGGGAATTCTCGCAACTGTAAGAAAGGATGTTATCTCTGACAATGAGTGGCACTGTGGCTCAGTGATTAGCACTGCTGCCTCACAGTGCCAGAGACACGGGTTCGATTCCAGCCTCGGGTGACTGTGTGTATGCAGTTTGTACATTCTCCCCGTGTCTGCATGGGTTTCCTCCCACAGTCCAAGGGTTAGATGGATTGGCCACGGTAAATTGCCCATAGTGTCTGGGTAGCAGTTGTCTCTGGATTGGATGCTCCTCGGAGAGTCGGTGTGGACTTGATGAACGATCTGCTTCCACACTGTACGAATTCTATGTTCTGTTCTATGTGGAGTCTGTATGGGTAGAGTTGAGAAGTACCAAGGGTCAAAAAAGTGGTAATGTTGGCAATGGCATGAAACAAAATTAGCAATGCATGTGATGAGGGGTGATTTTAATCTGCACATAGATTGGGCAAATCAAATTAGCCACGATGCCATAGAGGAGGAATACCTGGAGGGTATACAGGATGGTTTTCTTGACCAATATGTGGAGGAACCAAGTAGAGAGCAGGCCATCTTAGACTGGGTACTATGTAATGAGAAGGGAATCATTGCCAGTCTAGCTGTGTGAGACCCCTTGGGGAAGAGCGACCATAACACGACAGAATTTTTTTTTATCAAGATGGGGAGTGAGGTTGTTGATTCGGAGACTTGGGTGCTGAACCTTAATAAAGGAAACTACGAAGGTATGAGGCATGAGTTGGCCTTGATAGATTTGGGACAATTATTTAAAGGGATGACAGTGGGTAGGCAATGGCAAACATTCGAGAAACGCAGGGGGGGATCTGCAACAACTGTTTATTCCTGTCTGTCGCTAAAGCAAAATGGATAAAAGGGCCAATCCATGGCTAACAAAGGAAATAAGAGATAGTATCTGATCCAAGGAAAAAGCATGCTGATTGGCCAAAAACAATAATAAATCTAAGGATTGGGAGCAGTTTAGAATTCAGCAAAGGAGGACCAAGGGATTGATTAAGAAGGGAAAATACAGTACAAAAGTAAGCTTGCAGGGAACATAAAGACTGACTCTAAGAGTTTCTATAGGTATGTGAAGAGAAGGAGATTGGCAAAGACAAATGTAGGGCCCCTACGAACAGAAATGGGGGAATGTATAACCAAGGGGCAAAGAAATGGCTGAGGAACTGAATTCATACTTCTTCTGTCTTCACAAAAGAGGACACAGATGAGATACCAGAATTGTTGAAAGAGGCAAGATTTAGTGAGGGGGAAGAACTGAGGGAGATCAATATTGGTAGAGAAAACAATGCTGGGAAAATTGTTGGGATTGAAGGTGGATAAATCCTCAGGGCCTGATTATCTATATCCCAGAGTACTTACGGAAGTGACCCTAGAAATAGTGGATACATTCCTGGTCATCTTCCAGGATTCTATAGACTCTGGAACAGTCCCTGCAGATTGGAGGGTGGCTAATGTCACTCCAATATTCAAAAAGGGAGGTAGAGAGAAAACGGGGAATTATAGACCAGTGAGCCTACCATCGGTAGTGGGGAAAATTCTTGAATCTATTATCAAGGACTTCTTATAGCAGAACATTTAGAAAGCACTGGCAGGTTCGGACAGAGTCAGCATGGATTTATGAAGGGGAAATCATGCTTGACAAATCTGTCTGAATTCTATGAAGATGTAACTAGTAGAGTTGACAAGGGGGAGCCAGTTGATGATGTATATTTGGACTTGCAGAATGTGTTTGTCAAAGTCCCATTTAAGAGATTAATGTTCAAGATTAACGTACATAGGATTGGGGGAAGCGTATTGAGATGGATAGGAAACTGGCATAGAGGAAACAAAGAGTAGGCATTAATGGGTCCTTTTCAAATTGGAAGGCGGTAATTGTGAGGAGGTTGTAGAGATCATTTAGCATGATCTGGACAGGTTGGGTGAGTTGGCAAGTCAATGGCAGATACAGTATAATTTGGATAAATGTGAGGCTATTCACTTTGGAAGCGAAAACAAGAAGGCAGATTCCTACCTAACTGGCTGTAAATTGGGAGAGGGGAGTGTGCAGTGGGACCTGGGTGTCCTTGTGTACCAGTTGCTGGAGGTAAGCATGTAGGAGCAGCAGGTGGTAAAGAAGGTAAATGGTATGTTGGCCTTCATTGTGAGAGGTTTCGAGTACAGGAACAGGGATGTGTTGTTGCAGTTATACAGGGCCTTGGTGAGACCACACCTGGAATATTGTGTGCAGTTTTGTTCTCCTTTTCTGAGGAAGGATGCTGTTGCTGTCGAGGGAGTGCAGCGAAGGTTTACCAGGCTTTGCCAGGGATGGTGAGACTGATATATGTGGAGAGACTGACTAGGTTGGGATTGTTTTCACTGGAGTTCAGATGAATGAAGGGGCTCTCATAGAGACTTATAAAATTCCAACAGGACTGGACAGGGTAGATGCAGGGAGTGTGGGTGCGTCCAGAACCAGGGGTCACAGTCTGAGGATTCGGGGTAGACCATTTAGGACGGAGATGAGGAGACATTTCTTCACCCAGAGAGTGGTGATCCTGTGGAATTCGTTACCACAGGAAGTAGTTGATGCCAAAACATTAAATGTATTCAAGAGGCATCTAGATATAATACATGGGGGCGAATGGGATTGAAAATTATGGGGATAAAGCAGGATGAGGCTGTTGAGTTGGCCGATCAGCCATAATCGTGAAGAATGGTGGAGCAGTTTGGAATGGCCGAATGGCCGCCTCCTGCTCCTATCTTCTATGTTTCTATGCGTTGTGGGAAAGGGGAGACATCGTGGCGGGGAGGGAGACGGGTTGCTGGTGGGGTTAGGTTGCTGCGGGGAGGGAGATGTGTTGTGGGGGGTGGGGTCGTGGGGGCGGGTTGCGGGGTCGCTGCGGGGAGGGGGACGGGTGGCGGGGTGGGGGGGGGGGGGGGGTGGCCGTGAGGTGAAGACATAGATGCATGCTGTGTCTGTTGCACTGTTGTGTGATTGCCACCCTGACGTTGGCCCCTGTGTGTTTACAGGATGACATTCCTGCGCTGATGTCGTCCAGGCCTCACACTGGCCTGTCCTTTCTTGCCCCTGAGCCTGAGGATTTGGAGGATCTGTACACTCGTTACAAGGTGAGTGAGCGAGTATCTGGGGAGACCACCAAAGGGCCTCAACCGATGGGAGATGGCTGTTGGATTGTAGGAATCGTAGCCGTTAATGTGTACACAGCAAGCTCCCAGAAACCGCAAAGAGAGGGTGATGAGTGCCATCTGTGTTTTATTAAATTCATATTAATTAAGGAACAAATATTGATCTCAGAGCCCCAGAGAGAGCTCCACCCAGCTGTCCTTTCAAACAGGGACCGGGGAATCTTAGCACCCAGCACAGGCAAAAAGGCACTTGGTTTAATATCCTATCTGAACAGCATTCCGACAGTGCAGCGCTTGCCCTACGCTGACCCTCTGCCTGTTTGCTTGCAGAAGCTGCAGCAGGAGCTGGAGTTCCTCGAGGTGCAGGAAGAGTACATTAAGGATGAGCAGAAGAACCTGAAGAAGGAGTTCCTGCACGCCCAGGAGGAGGTGAAGAGGATCCAGAGCATCCCGCTGGTTATTGGGCAGTTCCTGGAGGCAGTTGATCAGAACACC